TGTGTGTGTGTGTGTGTGTGTGTGTGTGTGTGTGAGAGAGAGAGAGTGTGTGTGAGTGCGAAACCAGACTGCTAGACCAATGGATTTCAGCGAAGCAATACTCAACTTAAGAGCACAGACCTCTTAATCTTGAGACACAGGGCTCTGAATAGGACTTCTGCAAGTGCTGATATTCACTCTTTTAATCCTAGGTGGTTGTTTGTAAGAGATGAGGGCGGGGCTATGAGGCACCATCAGAAGCCGATTTCTCCCAGAATTCTGTGTGTCTGTGTGTATACACATTCCAGTGCAGTGTCTATCTGTAAAAGATTCTTTTGAAACACAAAGAGCACCTGCATGTATGTTTTGGAACATCAAGCAGGTGCCTGAGATGATATCAGGGCTAGTCCTGTTTTCCAGCTCACTATCCAAAGACTCTTGGGAATACTGGGCTCCACACAGGATGACAACATCCCTCCTCTTACTCTCTGGTCGGCATAATTGAGACCTGTTTTGCACACCACTGAGTGTCATGTACTGTGAGGGACAGGGTGACTTTCACTGACCCAGATGAGGGGGGCGGAGCCGTCAGCCCCGCACCCCCGCCAAGTCATCTCTACACCACCAAACGTCAATCCAGCCACACCTGGCACCCACCTCTGCGGGGTCTCCATAGCGACAGAATGGTGCGGGATTCCTTCAGCTCCATTGTTAGTTCTAGGTTCCAGTTCTGGATTCTTTCTACAGTTCTGGTTCTGAAGGGGAACAGGTTCCCACGCAGCTGTGATGGAGATTGATTGGCTCCGGGGGGGGGTACCCTGTGCCTCTCCTCGTTCGCTGTGTGGGTAACTTCGCATGTGACGGTCTCGCATCAGAGCCAGTCCAGATGCAGCAGGCGGTGTTTCCACACGGTGAGTCGCGAGTCTCCATGACAGATTCCGTCGTGGTGCAGACTCACCCAGAGCTCCTCTAACAGATGTCTGTTCGCCGGAATCCGAGCGAGTTTGGGTATCCGAAACCGTTGATATGTAAGTCGATTGTCAATACAGATAAAAAAACACACGAAGGTCTCCCAAAGTAGCAACTTACCAGGCTGTGCTGAATAATTCATGGTTTGCAAGAATGATGTTCAGAAGAACTGAAGAGAGGGCTGTAAGTTTTATATAACCAACTCCATGTGATAGTTCATGTAAAAGTTACAAGAAGTATTTATTTCTAGAACAAATTCCAACTCATGCATATAATGCATGTACATATTTTTTTCCTCAAATGGTTAAAGCTTTCTGATATTTTTTTCTTCCTACATCTTCTGTCCATTTTGGGACAGATAGATTTCATTGTGTCTTTCTACCACCTGTGATGTTACGGAATTTCTCATTCTCCCTGATTCTGGCTGGGGGGGGTCTTCCTTTGATGGAGGGTCCTCACCGCTCTTCACCTTAATACTGCCTCTCCCCCCACCCTTATCACTGTCAGGATATCTTCTCACCTTCCCAGAATGCACCACTCCCTAGCCGAATATTACTTCAGCTGCTGCATAAAATGAAAAATTACCACCCCCACCAAGACATTCCGATGAAGGTTTTTTTTTTCCCCTCGTCTATCTAGCACAATAAAGAGACAATAAATAGTTTTCTTTTCTGCGTCTAAGAATGGAAATGCAGTTGAGATATCACAGATGTGGTCACGGTAATAATGATGCTGGCAGTCTTGTAGCGTTCTTGTTGGGTAACTCTATGGGTTTAATTTTAAAAGAATGACATCCATCCATCTTCAGAGTTTCAGGGGGTCTGGAGCCTACAGGCACCAGGCAGGGAAGATTGGGCACCAGCCCATCACAGGACACTCACACACCGGTCACAAGTTTGGTATCTCCAATTAACCTCGGCATGGAGAGTCTCCATAATGACATGGGGAGAGCATGCAAACTCCACGTGGCGCCTTGGCTAAGATCTGAAGTCTGGTCTCTGAGGCGATGGCGCTCACCGCTGTGCCACTGCACCCTGCTGCTGCCCTAAAATTACATTTAAATCTATTTTTATTTTGAAGGTACTTTTGTCCAAAGTGATGTACAAGTGAGGCACATTGCAAAGATACAGCAGTCGAGGCATAAGGGCGGCTAGGCTGAGCTACCAATAAAAGCTCAGGTACACAGTTATTCCGTTTGTTTATAGGGTGAGGGCTGAAGAACCTGTGGCCTGTACAGTTCTGTGTTTGTGTGGTGCACCAGTCCTTATTAATCACGTGTTTCACACTCCATTGTGCCAGAAAACGGTCAAGGTGTGGCAACCTGTAAGCCACATTCCTTACCCACAGTTTGAAATCTGGCCACTAGGGGGAGCCTAGGGCTGCCCAGAGCCCCACCTGCGCAGAACCTGGTTTATTTTTAAATGTATACGTCCGTCCTTCTGAGAGGCCGTAAGTGCATCAGCAACACACTCTTCTGCTGAATAATGGATGATGGAGTTTGGAGATGACCATGAAGCGAGCTTTTTAATACCCCCATTTTCCAGTTAGCTCTGCATTTCCCAGTTCAGCCTCTTGTGTTTTCCAGTTAGCTTGCCAACATCCCCAGGTCCATCCCTGTGTTTGATCCCAGTTAGACCCCTGTTTTCCAGTTAGCTCGCTAACAACCCCAGTTTGACCCCTGTTTTCCAATTAGCTCACTTACGACGCCAGTTTGACCCCTGTTTTCCAGTTAGCCCACTAACGACCCCAGTTTGACCCCCGTTTTTCAGTTAGCCCAATAACAACCCCAGTTTGACCACTGTTTTTCAGTTAGCTCACTAACGACCCCAGTTTGACCCCCGTTTTTCAGTTAGCCCACTAACGACCCTAGTTTGACCCCCATTTTTCAGTTAGCTCACTAACGACCCCAGTTTGACCCCCGTATGTCAGTTAGCTCACTAACGTCCCGAGTTTGACCCCCGTATGTCAGTTAGCTC